ACATAAAATCACTTGGTATTCCATTGAATATCGCATTGGACATCGCATCGTACAGAATTATAGTAAATTATCTTCAAATCGATAAGTCGATTTCTAGTTCAATATACATGTATATATATATATTTGAGTTGTAGAAAAAAATGTATTTATTTTTAGGATCACGTACACGATACTGATCATGAGTCTTGTTTGTTTGTTTATCCAAATTACAGAAGAAACGATCAACGGGCGGATTGTATGAATTGTATGTACCAAATAATATAACCTTCAATAAAATCACCAGTAACAAGTTCATTTCATTTGTATATAGTAATTCATCATTATAAGTATCTAATTAGAGAGAAAAACGATTTTCAATCTTGCTCTTTCCCTTCTTTTCCATTCTTCTCTTTCTTCTTTATTAATCTTATTGCTGTTTGATCATATCGTATAATATATATATGTATATATATATATATATATTTATATATGGTGGTATAATAACGTTCACAGATCGTAGATACTCACACAATTTTTCATTGATCATAAGAATTCCATGGAATTAAAGAAAATTCTCTCTGTTATAACCGATCGTTGATAACCACGCTTTACGCATCTTCAATCGCCGATCGATGATTTATTTTGTAAATCTTATTACACAATTCGAATTTAATGATCAGTGATGATTCCAATATCCAAACAGATCAAATACACAAATAAGCTCGTATATAGATTTATATCGACATTCTTGTTTTTATTTGTCATTCTTACGTTGAAAAAGAATCATTTGGTTCGGTTAAGAATTAAATTAGACATTAACCTTCGCTCACCGAAGAAAGCGAGCTACGGGTTGAGCCAACCGTATGATGCGTCAAGTCGGTAAGATCTGCTGGTAAGCACAATGGTATCGCACTTGGCCCGTAAATCGCCTCTTGTTCCTCCAGCTGTAACGCAAACTGTTCTTCCAATTTCTGTAACGAAAAATATCGGGTATGCGATTAAATATATAATACGCAACACATAGCACAAATTAATGGATAAACGAGTGATTTTAAATAATAAGAAAAAAAACTAAATCAAAGAGAAACGTATGGTTCTCATGGAATCAATCAAAATGTTTTAATTGCTCGATCGTTTATATTATTATTTATGCTTTATTATTTATTATACTTTATATTCACAGATCAACAGACGTTGTTTAAACTGACCTTGTTTATTACCTAGTAGACCGTTCTGATATCCAGTCGTGGAATCTCTTTCCCGACATGTTGTCTTAATGGATATTTAATGAGAAAGGTACGTAACAAAAATGGGAATAAACGCGATACAACGTACACATTGGAAACAATTATATGAGAACCCCTCATGTATATAAGCATTTATCGCACATTTTACTACGTCGGTAAGTATACAACATACATGTAACCCACAATTATTACCAATTCACCTCCTGTTATAATTTTGTTTAATAACCATAGAAAAGCTACTATCGAAACACGAAACTTACGTATATTATCGATAATACATAAACGAACGATAAATATCTAATCACATACAAAATAAGCATAAAATACCATTCGGTACTATGATATATAAATGCTCGTTGACACTCTGTTGAACATTGTAACATGATTATCCATTAAAAAAAATTGTCTTATGATACGTTATTTGTTTATTTGTGATGAAAAACTTAACGAGTGTTCTACGCGTGGACAATAAATCTGCAACATCGTAATTTAACAACAGTGCAATTTCAACGATAAATTAATTTAATGCCAGTGATATATTTATGTTTAATATCTCATCACTTAGAAAAAAAACTATAAACTTAAACTAAATAGCTAAACACAATAACAAGCTCTTATCATTTTAAGGGTATATTATTTATTGGTTTTTACGTTCCCCAAGAATTGCAAATTCATGTTATAAATTAATTATTTCCTTGCAATATATTATCACTTATTCAAAATGTTATTCCGTGTAAGCCCAAACAATATATATATATATATATATATATATATATATATACATATATATATGTATATATTTTTCCTTT